GGGCGGCCGCTCCGCCCCGCTCCGCCCCGCTCCGCCCCGCTCCGCGGGAGGCCCCGGGCGCCGCTGCGCGTCCGCGGGGCGCGCGCAGGGCCTCCCGCCGCGCATTGCTGGACTTCGGGTGTTACCGCACATTTTGCGCGTTCAGCCTTCCTAGCACAAGCACCCGACTAGCGCCTCCGTAGACATTTTTTTTTTCCCCTACATGCGTTCTTTAAATATGAGTGAGCTGGCGCATGTGGAAGCACTCAGAGAACCAAAATAAGAAAGAGTAAAAATAAAGCAGACTAGGATTTTCCAGTTACGTTTCCTTAGCCACGACGCTCCTCTAAAACACATTGCTCACCAGTTAAAATCTTGCTCGCTGAGTGTTACACAACACGGCCGGGCGGAGGGAGGAACTCCTCCCGTATCCGGGATTTTTAGGAACAGCCTCAGCACCTCCTTTCAGCACTTGCTTAACCCCCTTATACGTATGTGCTACAACAGGCTCCTTTGCTCAGAGCCTAACTAATCTTGATGTGTGCGTTCATGGTTCTTAAGTGCATGGTGTGTGGGTGGGAGCTCCAGGCTAAGCATTTCCATAGCACTTTATATGGACTGTAAGGCTTACCTAAGGGAAAAAAAAAAAAAGAAAAAAAAAAAAAGGCAAGTCAGGCCCTAAGGACTGCAGATTTTTGCATGTTTACATGACATTTTGCCGTGGATAATCTTAAGTAGCAAGGCTGTGACAGCCCCTTTCCTCCAGCCTGCAACCTACAAGGCCAGCCACAGCAGAGCGGTGTTGCGGCTCCGTGCTCCTGCCCCTGTTTGTCCACTAGCACTTTTCACCAGAGGGGCTGGGTTTTTGTCCTCTGTACAGCTTCACCATGGCACCATGTCCACTCATTGAAATAATAAAGCTGTGATGGGATCAAGAAAAATTTTTGTTTGTTTGTTTTTTCTTTCTCCTCCCCCCCATCAAGTTTCTAACTAGCAGCCTGACCAAGCACCAAGCGCTTGCAGAGGTCAAGGCTGTCCCCCTGTGGATGAAAGCTAAATTGAAATTAGTTCCAAAGCAAACGTACATGTATTAAAGCAACTTAACAGAGCTTAATCTTAACTGATTAGACACACGCATGATCGTAACACAAAGCTAGCCATCAGGACAGGTTTTGAGGCACAGAGTGAAGCGTGAGGTTCACTCTGCAGACAGATGGGCAAGTGACCACAAAGCAGCTCACATAGCTCTGTGAGCAGGAATCACCATACAGTCCAAAGGCTGCCCGAGCTACTCCTGGAGGGACTCTTCTAACTTGTGCCAGATAAAACGGGCTACAGGAGCTTAAACAGGGGATTTTCTTTAACTAGAGTCATTTTGACCGAAACAGATAAGAAACCATTCAGAGAACCAGCTATTCCAAAGGATGAGGAGGATAGAGAGCGTCCGACAAAGGATCATTTCTTCATTTGGGATTTAGGAAAAAAAAAAAAAACATATTTCTGTAACTTAGATGCTGTTATTTTCTTAAGCCAAAAAGCCCTTTGATTATCCCACCCTGCAGGCTGACAGCCGGGAGGAATGTGGGAACGGGTGTGTGAGGAAGCCCGGAGCGCTGCAACCAGCCCTGTGGTTATTCCAGCCCTGGTCGTGTTTGAAGCCAGTTGCAATGTTCCTAACATTCAGGTTTGGCTCCCATCTATGAATCCCTCTATTTATCCACCTGCGAGTCACACACCTCTGACGCTGCATTCAGAAACAGAAAACTAGAGTAGCTAGGGCAACATACGGAATATTTTTCCGACAAGGAAGCCACTGTATGGAGCTGCCGTTTTCAGACAGTTAGGCAGTAGGGCATTTGTTTAATATACTTCATTTCTGGATTTTTTTCCACAGGAATGATAACCTCTGGGACTAGGCTCCTTGGGAGGGAGCAAATCCCTCTTCCTGTAAAAGCTATTATAGGCAGCAAATATTCTTCTCAGCAAAATAAAAAGATATGCTGTAGCTCTGGCAGCATAACAGTTAAAAAAACAACCAACCAACCAAAAACACCAAGTTGCATCATAACACTATTAAAAGATACTTTTCTGTAACGTGTTTTTAATTAGATGAAACACATTAGAACACCCCCCCCCCCCCCCCCCATATTTGAAACAATTTTAAACTCTTAGGCAAAGTTTCTTTCATTATCAGCAAAATAAGGACAGCACATGAAAGGCTTAGGCTTTAGGCCTAAGCCCAGTGAAGTCTCTCAGTGAGGTTTGATACAAGGTAAAAAATTGCAGGAATATCTGTGAAAATACTTACAGTTTTGTTAGAGCTTAGTAGAGTTGTGAAGACTGAAGACCTTAAAACAGAAGAAGAGATTCTGCTGAACCTAGAGGAAGAAATCAAAATCTTTAAAGAATCATTACTTCATACCATTGCATCAAACTCTCAGTTTATATTTAGTTTTGCTGGTTATGAAAACAAATAAAAACCCTCCAAAAGGAATCTGAATCTAAGTCCAGCCCACCTGAGCATCTGGGCAACCCAAAATAACAACTCTACCTTTCACTGATATTGCAATAGAGACTTAATTTCAAAACTGCCTCTGAGGCAAAAGAGAGCCACAAGAGGGAAAATTTTGCTAACAACCAGAGGACACGAATAAGGCTGCACTGTTCACTCAAACACATATTCTCTGGCTGCCAGAGTTCTTCCCTGCTGCACTTCTCTCACTTCTGCCGAGGGGAAAGGATCCTTGACATGTTTTTGAGAGAGGAGCCCCCATTGTCTTCATTCTTGAGCAAGAAAACAGAACACAACAACGTCCTCGCCTTTTGGGGAAAGAAGCGCAGCTTTGGTTCAACTTAACAAAAATAATTAAAACCACTGAGTTTCACACATTCCTGGGCAAAAATCCAAAACAGTAAGAACAACCAGAACACGAAGAAATGACAATGGTTGAATGTGGATCATATATTTTAGATGCACGCATGAAGGAATTCATGGCATAGATAAATAATTTTCCAAAATAGTAAACAGGATGCCCATATGCTACAATAAGGATTGGTTGTGCTTTTGATGGGTTCATCATAAAGTGGAGTGTGAAAATAATTCTTGTAACACATTTCATCACAAAAGGACATTAAAACAGCTAACTGGTGAAATAAGTATTATGTTGCAACTTAACTATAGCTTTTGAGGAGAATGTAACTGATGTCTCTGAGATCTTGCTTGCAAGGGGAAGAAAACAATGCTGGAACATGCAGTGTATCAGGAATATCTCTGCATCAGACCACAGTCAGTGTAAGACAGTAGGAAACTAGAATCCTTGGTGTCAGGATATGTGAAAGTCTCCGCACCATCTCACTATTCAGTACCAGTTCAACAGAAACGATTCCAGCCCACAAAACCACAGAAGCACTTCCTGCAAGCACTGCATTTCCCTACTGCCTGTTCCAGCCTTAGTTCCAATCTCATACCTTTGCACGGTGAGTTCAGGCCACAGCAGTACACAGCCCAGCAGTGAGGGGTGGAAACTACTGTGTTCATCTAATAGCTGCACAGTACCCTTGCCCTTGATTTCACAAGTGCCATTTTCTTCCTTCCCATTCCTTTTCCATTTCCATTTTTCAGTATTTCATTCCCGTTACTAAGAGATTCCAGTGGTGAAAACAAAAGGATTAACTACCTGAGAGTTTACATGCTAAAAACAAACAGAAACCACATCAAATGAAATTTCTAAGTTGAAAACTTCCAGGCAACCTCAGATCCTAGAGTATTAGCCAGCCCTCAGTACCCTCAGTCAGGACTGGATCTTCCAAATCCACCAGATATATCCCACCCTAGATTGATTTTGTCTCCTTAGCAGTTAACATCCATCATTCTCCCACTCTCCTTCATAAGGAGAGGGTTCCTTCATAGATATTCTTGGTTATAGTTCACTTCCTTACATGTTAATTGTTGGAGACTTTGCAAAGCCAGCCTCCCAGTCTATTTCAGCCGGCACAAACACCACATGGACCTGAACTCCTGCTTGTTCTTCCGCAAGTCTTTTGCAATCCAAGTGTGTCTGTTTTGATGATGATTGAGAGGCAACGTTATCTCCAATCTCTATGTTACACTCTTAAGAAAATGGTATTCTTTAAAACCCATTTCTTGGAGATGAACTTGGCTGAACTGATTTATGCAGGGCAGTCTGAAAGGCAGACAGCAATGTTCAGTGACCCTTCCTGGGTCCTGGTATGAAATTTAGCTAACACATTTTAACAGCATATGGTTTGACTTGACATATACTGAGGAATTCAACAACACAGCCTTTTCATAATTTTGACCAGTGTTTGTGATGGACTGTACAGACTCCCTGTTACTAGAGGTCTATACCCTAGATCTATGTCATTCTTAGTACATAGGATTTTTGTTGAAAAAATTTTCTTGCACACATTTGGCATTTTCTGTTAAGTAACCATGGTAAGAGCTTTGTTCTCTGGGGATGTCAATCTGACACCTTCTCACTAAATTCATTCAAATTACAATAAATGGGTTTTACAAGTAATAGAGTGTTGATATAAATGATCTAAACTATCATCCTTCAATCAAAGCTGGAAAAGAAAAAGTCTTGAAATAAGTAGTTTCATCAAGGAGTAACTGACAGAAGTGCTTTAGTTTCCATTTTGTACCTACACAAACATCTCATTAGACAATTGTATAGCTGCTTTACTGCCCCAGGACATAACCTTACCTGTTTTGCTGAGCTGTCACCTTGAACGTACCACTCATAGAACCCAATAGTTTATCCCTTTGCAGTTTGACTTTTTCTTTTAAACACAATTTCACTCAGATGCATCTGCCAGCTAACTTGCTCCCTGACTGCTTCTTGTGAGATTTGTTTAGATCTGCTTAGGTTTGTGGCTTTTAAAAAATGGAATCCCTGAACTCCGGTTAATATCTCATTCCAAATGGCTCCAGGTAATAGAGTCTGGCAATGGAAAAGGAGCTCACAGAAATCAGCTGAGCCAGCCTTGGCCTGTACACCCTACCTACAACTGCAGGGTCTAAGCTCCCTCTGTGGGAAGATGTTTGCATATTTATTAGCTCTTTTGGCAGTAATTCAGTTGGGTGATGTCTCAATGAAGATTGGATTTGGAGTTACCTCACTCACAAAGCTCTATTTAACCTTCGTTCTTGTTCTGACACCACTGACGGCTCCTCCTATCAGTCCATTGATCCACAGTTTTCTTTCAGTCTTTTGAGTTCACCTTTCCTCTGCTATTCACTTGAGCTGAACACACTTTCATGTCTTCAGCTCTTTTCACTTCGTCTTTAAATCCTCTGTTAGCAAACATCTTGAGCAATACCACTTCCATTTCCTCAATTACTGTATGCCCTCTTCTTATCTATGTGGTAGTTTTGTGGGGCAAGGATATATCCTGTGGGGAAAGCTTATTAGTATTTTAAGTATGCCAAAACAATTACAGAGATGTAGACTGCTCAATGAACAACAAGATTGGGAAATTTTGGCTCACCGTAGGTCTAGGTGTGACTTTAGCCTGTCTGTGCTTCAGATTTTACATGAAGATTACATAAGGACAGTATCCTATAAGTACAATTCTTCTCTGTAATTACTAAGCAAAATTGAACAGCTTGAAAATTCCCAAGAATACCAAAATACAGAGTTCAAAATGTATTTTAAAATAATCTTTGTGTACCTTGTTAGATCTCCTGATCATTGACCCTGGCACCTGCGGGGTTGTCTATATGCTGCAAGGTCTGAGGAGATCCTTTACCTCCATAAAGATGGTTCAGCACCTTATCAAATGTTCCTCAGGTGGCGGCAGCCTCTAGCTGTGGTGAAGCACTTCTTGGGACATCACACTCGGAATATAAACTACGTCTCATATGCAGGAGTAGCACAGTCTTCACGTGATTCAGTGGTGACTCACTCAGGAGCCTTTCCCACATTTAGGGAAAACCACCTCATTCAAAGCACCTTTCACCCAAGATTGCTCAAAACATTCTGCGCTGCTAAGAAAAGCGAGCTCGGAAAGGCTGCCTTTCACAGCACTGCCAGCCTCTGCGGCGAGCACCCTGGTCACACGTTAGGGACCACATCCTCAAAGAGCTTTCTTACCAGATATTTAACTGGAATTGAATAAAATCAGGTTCATGTTCTCAGCATTGACAGTAAGCAGGCAGTAGCTGTTTAGAAGATGATAAATTCAGATCTAAAGTTGAGAGAGACTTTCTAACAAACACTGCTTGCCTGGCAGCAAAATTGAATCAATAAACACTTAGTTCCTCGCCTTCAAAGCGCAGAGAGCGAGAGTCGCCTGGTGGCGAGTGAGGAGCAGAGCCTCTCGGCCCCGCACGGTCCCACTGCAGTGCCCGGGTCCCCACACCAGGTCCCTTGGCTGCAGCTCGGCCCACGGACCCGGCAAAACCTGCAGCACAAGGGGTTGTACGGGGGAGCCCATCATATCCTCACAAATAAATAGACCTGCATTTTCTTATTGGGAAGCAATGCCAAAAAGAACTCTGGTAACTTTTATGAAGCAGATAATTTCAACAAAAGCTGTCACCTGGAATAGCTCATAACTCACAGTACCAGGGATTCAGGAGAGCAGTTAATATTCAGAGCCCCGATCTGTTAACACGTGTGACACAGCGAGCCAGAGCCCTCCATCTCCTGGAGGGAGAAAAGCACATTGTGTCTTGTCTTTAAATAGTTGTACTACTACCCCACCCCAAATATTTAATGTTCAAACATGTAAGCGACTGACATTTCAGCTTCCTTCAATTTAATTTGACTGTACAGCAGGGAATGGGGAAAAAAAAACGTTTTAAAGAGAAGGTAGCAAATTTGTCATTCAGAGGTAAATTTGTCACTCAGAATTATATAGAGATGTCAAAGTTCAGTCAGTTAAGTTGCAGACTGTGTTTTTATTTTTCCCCAAAAGAAAACTTCAATCAAGTTTCTGGGATTTCACAAGATCTTACTAGCCCAGGAATATATACACATGTAGTATTTCTCCTTTTATCTTATATTTACACACGGATTTGCCAATAGAGGGAGTCCTTTTACTATCTACCAAAATTTATAAAGGTAAATTTTCAGAGTTTTAAAACGATTGTGTCCCTACTCTGCAAATATCACTGTACTAAAAGCAAAAATGAAAAAAAAATCCAAATTAAAATAATTTCAGAGTGTTTAGAATAGGGTAATACCAGCCACGCACTCACTAGAAATGCACTGGATAATTCAAGTGGCCATTTGTGTCATTGTAGCAATTAGCTATGGGCACAGTTATGAAATATCTGAAAATAATTTAAGTATACTTAAAAGAATAATGTTAAATAACTACAAGTTCCTCTTGTATTACTCTCATGTATTTATCATTCCCCTGCCATTTTCACAGCAGTTACAACTCAGCTGCTCATGAAGCAGCTCCTAAACTTCGTGCACATACAAAAGCAATACTAACTGCATCAGTCCCTTTCCCTCCTTCCAGTGGGACCTGGGTTTATGCTGAGATTCCAGGTTCAATCCTAATCCCGGCCACTTCTGTTCTGAAAGCCAACTCATTCCAAGAAAACTGCAAAGTGAAACAGGCCTAAACCTCACATTGTGAGGAACTGAAGAAGAGTCTTTTGCCTTATTCCTTTTCAAATGAGCAGACGTCTTCACTTTCTAATCCCTGTAAGGACTGCAAACTGAGATCAGTTTTGTAAGTTTTGGAAGCCTGGCCACCTTGAATAAACATTTCAACCTTTTAAATGTTTACAGACCAAATTGCAGAGCTAAACATTTATGTTCCACTAAGTAACTTCAGCATTGTTTTCAACTGAAAGGCTCCTAAAGTAATATTGTTCTACCAGTAGGTGAAGACACACTCTACAGCAAAACCCAAAATTTTAAAAAAAGAAATGAATATCACTGTGTGTGTGAATTTTTAGCAGATCTCTACATAGTAGGCGTAGCTGGTCAACACAAACTTTCCAAAGTTGAAGTGTTTTTCTTACTTAGAATATATTCCCAAACCTTTTGAAAAGGATTTAAAAAAACAACTATTACCTTAAAGGAAAGCTAAAATGTGGCTTTTGAGGTATTTTTTCCTGTTTCTAATTCAATCAAGGATAAAATCTTTTCCGTGTACCTTTAGGCATGTTGCCTGAGATACGATTAGGAATAGACTTTGCACCCTCCTGCTGCACCTGTGCAGCACTAGAATGAAATGTTGTTTGTTTTAAAGAACACCCTATAGTCACTGTGACAGACACACAATGGCATTTATTTGCCTCCAAAAGGGAACTAGTCTGGTCCAGAAGAGGTCAATTCTGGAACAAAACCTCTGTTCTCAAGCACAATCTCTACTCAGTTTTAAGTGATGATCTAACTTCTACTTAACTCAAGTAATCATGACTCTACCTCTTAGGTATTTACATTTTTCCGGACTCCTCATGAACAACAACAGTATCTCCCAGTGGGCACAGCTAGAAGAGAAATGAGAATGTTGCTTCACTGCGAAATACCACTTTGCTCGCAAAATGAAAACAACTTAGCATAAGATCCAGCTTCCAAGTAAAAGAAAAAGTGTTCCATGGTAGCATTGCCTTGCAGGCTGTGTGATTAGTTACTCTACTTTTCATGCAAAACCTTTTTATGTTAAAGCAATACAACGCAAGCAAGGATTTTTCTTAACTTCAGTGGTTAGCACGTATGTTTTCCTTTCTCTGTGAGGCTCAGATGGATGTGTTTTCCAAGAGGTCAGAAGAGTTTGCCCTGGACTCCCTCCTCTGAGGTTCATAGCATTACACATTTCCTGTTTTGCACATGACAACACAGGGAGCTTTTTCAAAGACGTGAGCTGTATATACGAGCCTTCTGACCTGATTTACTACTGTACGATTGCAACAGAGTCAGACAGCGTAAAACCAAAGGAAAGCATTCCCGATGAAGCCTTCCTCATCTTCCTAGCAAGACTTTAAGAAGCTGGATTTGGACCCGTGGCTGAAATATGCTGAATTCAGAGAGCAGCCACCACCAGATTTAGGCTGGATTTTCAAATCGCTATATACAAAGATCAGATATGATGAGATAGAGCTTTTCAGTGTTATCTTCTGTCCATTACTTAGTGATTTCTATTGTACCAGAGCAGTTGCACTGGCACCTGCCGAGCATGGTAATGTCAGGTCAGTCACCAGGGACTCAGTACGGACAAACCATCTCTACCGAATCCAGATGCATGTGGGAGGTGGTTCCCGGACCAGCTATCAGAACTGGCATCAGTTTTTCTTTACCACAAACTGCTTCACCTATGCTCAAAAGGGCAGGCTGCTGCTCACACCATGCAAAGCCCAGATCTAGACACAACCACCTCTGCCAAGCACTCCTGCACCCTCACCCTGCAGCTGATTATCAATTCGTTCACTCCCACTAGCTAAACAGGCAGGATCCTTATCTGGATTTGAGGAGATTTCAGATTTACTCCAGTTTTCCACTGTCATTCAACAATTCATGTCATCTATTCCTTACATATCTATAACGGTATATTCTTGTAAGCAGGTACATCCTCCTGCCACAAGTCAGTCTTGTTTAGGGTCTAGCACCATTAGCTCATAAATTAGGTGGTGACTATGAACACAATTACTATATAAATAATAACAATTCTCCAGTCATTTACACCAGATCTAGAACTAGGATATTTTCATGAATGATGTAAACCATGTACTGGTTGCCTTAAGGCTGGAAATGCAAAATCCATAGCTTTGATAAAAATATACAACATATTTTATAGGACCAAGCTTCAGGACTTTTACTATTGGTTGTATACTTCAACTAGTTATTTACTAGGAAGGGATTTCAGCATATCAGCAGTTTAGATTAACAACAAAACTTGCCAGCGTTCATATCCTGCTTATTAAGAAGAAAAACCCAACAAGCCTGTTTTTGTCCACTGGAAAAAAAAAAAAAAAGTGGTTTACTATTTTCTAACTTTATGTGATAGTCTATTTAGCACTACCTCTAGTTAGGCAGTGCTAAAAGAAATATCAGCAAGAAAATTACTTTATATCCTTGGTTACCTGTGCCCTTTCATAGATTTAGGAAGATTCTGGTAATTTTCTGAAAATAATAGGATCCTTTTCAACAGAATGCAACACCAAAAGCATGGATGTTACAAAGAGAAATTTAAACAGAGAAACATACACACTTTTTCTTACCTTTTCAAGCTGGCTTAGGAATCTGTCCGAAAGTCTTGATGTTGATCTATGAAAAAAAAATGCAAAGGGAGAGGGCTAGATTTTCAACCTTGCGTCACTTAACATCACTAAAACCACACCAGTTTACATCACTGAAGACTTTGTGTAGGGCTCACTTTCTTTCCAAGATTGCACATGGTGCAGTTAGCTCAAGCAGGGATGCTTGGTCCCTTGTGCACCTTTCTACTGCTCCTAGCAGAGAGCATCTTTGGAGCATCACAGAGATGGCAAAGTGTCTGAAACTGTCAGTTTGTCACTTTGCGGGTTCAGGACCTTGAAACACAGCGGTTCTCTAGACATGAAATTGAATTACAAAGGAGAACTGCAACTTCATAAGCCCAAATTGCTAGAGTCTGCTAGTCCCCCCATTGAGATCATTACCCTTGTGTACTCTTTCAGGAGAAAATTTCTGCAGTACGACTGACAGGAGAGGGTGACGACAACGGGGGCTGTTGTCCTGGCTGGTGCGCAAGCCTGGCATCCTGGCTGCACAGGAGCTGCCCTCTCCTCCCTCTGCTTCGCTGTTTTATTATCACCCTGAAGGATTTATTATCACCCACTCTGGATGAGCAAGGCTTGTGTATTCCTGTCACTGGGAAAGGAAGATGTGGACAGAGCCAAACAGGCCCGATACACAGTTCTGCAGAATAACACTCTCCAAAAATGTACATTTGAGAAAGATTTAATTCAAAACAAGAATTTAAAAAGTTAGAAATCTTTTAATTTCTTTCTGGCATTTGCGAGCAGCCTGGCAACAGATATATCATTTCACCAATAGACCACTTTTAAGATGGACCACCCCACTATACACATAATGAAAAACAGCAATAGGGAACAACCTCGTGTCTGCTAACATCCCTCCATGAGCTCTGAGCAGGCAGGTCCATAAATAGGGCTCCACATGAGTGCAGGGGCTGCTTGCATGAAATGTGGTGGAGAACTGAAGCTGAATTCTCTGTGTTTCTGACAGCTGTTTGGTGGTGTGCAAGACCCTAGCTGGCAAGCTCAGATCAATCCTCAACAGACATATGCTCACCTCCTAAAATAGTACGTTCTGGCAGTAGATTGCAAAGAGACAACAGATATACGTGCTATGCAGCCTAATTACCATCTCAGCCCACGTCACGCCCTGTCGTTGTCTGTGATGCACAGCAAAAAGTTGCATTCTCCAGGCTCAAACTGCTCAGTACAGTGACTTCCCATCTCTGCTAAGAGAACACATTAGAGTACGGGTTTTTTTTCTATATATTTTTTCTATAAAGTAATATTTTCATCACCACGAGTAACATCACAGATGCCAGAAATGGGAAAAAGAAAAAAAAAAAAAAGTCATTCTGATTTATCTGATTATAGTTTGGGCCAAAGCAACACTGGTCTCTGTTGAGCATTTGCTTGTGCTCTGCCCAGACTCATGATATATCCCCAGAAGTGACTCCACTGCCCCCATTGCTTGCAATCTAGTAGAGGTCACCACAGGTAGAGCCTTCCTTTCTTGACTACAACTTGTTAATCTCTATCATACCACTAATTACTCCCCTCACTCACCAGTGGTAGTGCACCTCAAATATTTGTAATTTTTTACCTTGTGCTCTCTGCAGTTTAATTATTGCCGAGCCAAACAGAGACAATTTTTTCAGGCATTGAAACAATTGCCCATTCATTGCTCTACTAATGTGCTCTGCTAATTGGGCCATTACTCTTTGCACGTATTCCCTGCATATTTCTACTCTGTCCACCTCATCCTAATATAGTTGATGGGTGATGAAAATCATTCTGATCATCAGCTTCGATCAGCGTCATCCTCCACACATACAATTCAAACTCACATCATATGGATTTCATTGCAAAATATTAAATAAATTTCTATCTTAGCTATGATATTAGTCAGGATACTCATTTACAAAGATGACATAACTGCCATTCTCCTGCATTTTTTTAGGTTCTAACAATCCTGGCAGTTAGAACCTAATAATAGTAGATACTATTCTGGTATTATCTGCATATTTTACTAACATTGTGCTTCCTTTCTGCTTTACAGTAGGTCAAGTGATATACTTAGTCATACTTATTCATGTTTGTAAAATCATAAGCTTATCTATGTACAAAATATTAAAAAACATAGCATATTTGGTCAGTGTTCCCTCTGACTACACGCTGCATTTACAATCACTTCTGATCCTGAGTACAACTCTACAGTTATTGTATTGTGGGCTTTTTAAAGTTGTTTGAGGCCATTTGAAACTCAGCAGTCTGAGTAGTGACAGCCTAAGAAACAATTTACTTACCAACTGTGTCAGATTATATTCTCACTTGTAATTGCAGGATCAGAACTAGAAAAATTCATTTCAGGATTTTTTTTTTTTTTTTAATAATATCTTTGGGGAAAAGCAAAAAGACTGTGCAAAAAGACATGCAGTGCTGCCATGTTACCAGATGAAAGTTATTAATGGGAGTGACTTACCATCTTTATCAATCTTGTACATGAGGGGGAAGACGCATATATATTTTTAAAGCAATCTAGTGTTATATTAGATTATACTATTAGTAATAGCTTAAGCTATTCAAATCAAGTAAGAATCAAGCTAAATTTAGATCGTTATGTGAGTAATAGGACTTGCTTCCAAATATTCTGATAAACAATTCCTGATTTTTTTTTTTTTAAAGAAATCTTATATTCAAAACCCACTTGGATTTCTAGTCAGAAAAGTCGCAGTAAAGCAGGGGACATCTCCCCTCAAAATAGCTCTTTAGCAGCTCTCACTTGGAAACTGGATATGCAGAGGGATAGGAATAGAGCAGTAGGGAATGCTCACTTATAACAAAAGAAAAGAGCAGCCGCTACTGTAATTGCAATATATTGCTGCTCGTCAGACACAGGTTGCAAGGCAGCAGTAAGCACTTGTAACTTAAACAAACAAACAAACAAAACCCCCCAATAAACAAATTCAGTACGTTTAATTTTAACCACTACTTAATGAAAAATAGGGCATCACAAAGCAAGGACAAACTAAAGAAAAATAACAGGATATTTTAGTGGGATTTTGAGCAGGATTCTAACTCCATTCCCACCAAAGTCAAATGGAATCTTACCAATACTATTTTTAACATGACTCAAATTGACCCAGCTACTGAATCCTACTACCAACAGGTACAAAGGTCACCCCGTATGTCTAATAATTTCACAAGCATTGGGGTTTTCATTGAATAGACCCTCTTATATCTGTGCATTAAGTTTGGGGCACAGAACTTCTGACAGCAAAAAACCTCAACTGTGTGCAGTGTAATTCTAGTTAATTGGTAATTAATTGTTTAATATGCTGTGTAATGAAAGGTTGAGGGTGAAGAGGAGATGATTTTCATCTTTGCTACAGTTTGATAGGAGGGCAGCTCCTTTGGATCCTACCAATTTACATAGCTTGATGGTTGAAAAGACCATGCGCAGATTGCCACGAGGCTTGTGCACGCGACAACAAAAGTGGTCCTTTCTGGAAGACAGACCCAAAAAAGGATGTTTTCTATGGGACAGCGTGGACAACGAATTCAAACTGCTAAGAGCCAAGGAAGGTTGCCAAAGGAGAAGGAAGAAAATTAAGCAAAAAAAGTATAACAATTTATGAACAAAACTTTTTGAGTAGAAAAAGGCAAACTTACAGATAGTTATAATCACAGCACAGAAAACACTGAGGCAGAAAACAATCAGTGATATCATCTAGGAAGGAAGGTAAAAGATTTTTACCAGGAAACAGACTTCATATCACCATCTTTTGAAATGTATGATCTTTAGCGAGGGCACAGATAGACAGTAAAACTAAACAAAAACATCTACAATCCTATCATCCCTTTAATACTATGAATGATTAAACCTGTAACATACAAACCGGAGTTAAGATGCTCCACAGTGCAACCTGCAAGTAGCCATATGGACTGCAGCCTGTAAACTGCAGGAAATAGTCTCTGACTTCACTAGATGATGTTGACAAATACAAGACTATAGACATTGTAATTCAACATTTCTCTGTCAGGCACCAATATCTGGCCTTTGTTTGGTTAGAGTTAAGTATTGTTCCATTGCTGCATGAACACTACTAAGGTATTAAAACTTAAAATTACACAGCCATTCAGCTGTAAGGCTATGACTTCACAAGAAAAACAAAATCAAATTTATTTCTGTATAATGAAGATAAATCCGAAAATTCAGAAAACTGAGTCCAGTGTATCTCAGAATCACACTCCCAGAAAGTCTAACAAATACCATTTTAAGTTAATAAAATGTCTTTTTCATAATCCATGCAAGCATTTCCACATGCAATTTTAAATGAGTTTGGGAAGGATTTTCAAAGAAATATCTTCAATTTGTTTCTATATTCACGTAATAACCGTTGACTCGAACAAGAAGTTACACCTGACTGTGCAGCCTGAGCTGGCACGTTACTGCCACAGAGAGATTAGATACTACTAAAATTAAGACCATGGAGCCACATGTCATGCTTTGCAGCATAGTTAGTTCTCTCATTACAGTCTTCAGCAGATGCTTCTTTAGTAGAGAGCAAGTCGGCACAGTTACAAGAATTATGTGCCTATGCACTTATACATGCATATGTATTTAATATTTGAATTAACTGTGGCCATTGTCATAAATACCTGCTACTGGAGTTTCTATTTCAGTCTTTGCATGCACATGACTCTACAGATTTTATTCATTAGGATGTGTATGCAAGTGAATTAAAAAATGAAATCCAAATATTTGATTAGAAAAAGTGATCTTGTGCAAGGATCTTTTGGTTTCCAAAAACTATATGAATTATTATTAAAAGAAAAAAGTACAGTAGCTGGCACTGAACTCTATGTGGCAGTAATGTACCAGCTTAGTTTGCATAGTCCAGGCCTAAAATAGGTAGGGAATTACATGATGCAGTTGTAGATAGGGAGGTATTAAGACTGGGCCCTAAGAACTGCCAGGAAAGCAAACAAACAAAGAAATGTTGAAACAAAACTAGAAGAATTTATCCTTTATGGTAATTTAAGGAAACCATTTCCTTATCTCCCTCCTGCATTACAACTGGCACAAACTGCCCTTCATTTTTTTCTGACAATGTATCCATGCTTGGCAGCAATGGTACAGTCTTAAAATCTACTTATATTTTGAGGTCATACTGTCCGGCTTTATGGGATCTTTTGGAACAGCACCGTGCAATTTTCCATCCTAAGACATCTGATAGCTGCACTAAATATAGCCCCGTGCAGTTCCTCTGTTTAAGATACACCTACTACTGTGTGTCATGCTGATCATAGTTTAGAATCCTCGTGGACCCTCAAACTACTGCTCGTGCCATAAAGACTGCCACAGATCAAGTCGCAGTGTGGTCTTTAAGCTACCTTTAATAAATTACGCCGCTAATAATCCACTTTAGAGCTTCATCTGTGATGTGTTTCTGAACATTGAGTTTATACAATTTACAGTGTTTTCTGACCACGTGCAAATCTAAACAAGGGGAGGGCAAGAAGAACAACTTAGCATTGTTTGCACAGCTGTGTTGTCATTATTTCTTCCTCTTGCCTTACATTTTCTAGTATTCTTGACTCAAACAGTTAAATAACCAACAAGATTAGCAAGTGACTTCCAACAATCAACTAAGTGCCAATAGCTACAGGAACTAGACAAAAATCCACGTTTTGTGAGTAGCTATATAGACAATTTGGAATGATTTGAAGAACTAGACTCACACTAAAACCTTCCACACAAAAATATCTCATCTCACTAGGTGGGCTCCTAGGATGTATGATAATAATTCATACCAGAGTAGAGGTTAGTGATCCTACAACATTTAGATTTTTCTGCTTTAGCAGCAGATAAAATTAAGTATCTTGAGATAGTAATCTAATTTTTAAAAAATATTCCTCGTTATTGACAGCTTTTGTAGCCTACAGATATCAATACAAAATATCCAAATTAACCACTCAATGTCTCCAGTCTTGCTTTTCTTTTCCTGGTCGCTAGCAATATAATTTTGGCATGAATAAATTTCCCAGATGGGACCTACAAACAACTACACATTGAGGTTAAAATTTGGAAAAGTCTAGCCTATTTTCTTCTTTCAAACATACAATTGCAAAAACTTCTTACTGGAGAAGCATGAAACCTGCGTTACCTCAAAATACGAGCAAGAATCAAGCTAATCATATTAATAATAAGTTAAG